TACAGATCATCCACATTCTAACATGTAGCAACAAATTCTTAAAGAATAGGATCTATTTCAACAAAGTAGTTAACCTTTATTTTCCTTCTACAGAAACAAGTAGTTGTGTGAGATGTGGCATGGGCTAAGGGTACATTATTACGAGACCAAAAGCACAAAGTAAACAATCCATCACTTAAATAATGATAAATAAAGGCAAATAACAAAATATCCATCAGACGCTTTAACCAATCACTGAGTGGAAGACGGATACCCAGGCCCCAGACAGTTATATTCACAGTTTAAAGACATGTGAAACAAACCGCTGTCACCAGTTCAAACATGCTGGTAAATAAAATATGCAATGTTTCTCTAACAACTGAATTTCAGTATCCTTTAAAATCCAAATTTAAACTTTTCCACAGAACATTAACGAGTGCCTTATATGATAAAATTAAATATTAAAATTGAATGAGGATTCACGTCATTCTAAAGAAACGCATCATGGACATCCAGCAATCTTACATAGCTAATGAAAGTGAAATAACAATGCATGACTACACCTCCAAAACAATTTCTGTCTTCAAAATAATTAACATGTAGAATAAGGACAAGCAATTGATGAGATTGATGAGGCAGCCGGGAGCATAACTATACCACCATCACAATGTATTAATACTAGTCAACTATAATGTATATCAAGTGCCCCCTTCTAGTTCAACTAGTACTCTCCCCTCACTCATTTCGAGCACAGACACACTCAATTTACAAAGTACTGTCCTCCCATATCTAATTGGCTAACTATTTACCTTTAGAAACTATAAACCACCTAAATTCTGAAATAGCACTAAACATAAAAGGCTAAGATAGAAACAACACCAGAGTCACAATATAATCAATAATTAACACGATTAATCAATCAGCAAGCAACCTATCACTGAAAATGGGCAATTGCATATCCCCCAATGTCAACAATCATAAAATCACGATAATCACATCCAAACATGCCAAAAGAAAGTCTTGTTTTCCCTATGATGACAAACAATGGTATGCAATAAAACATGGAATGTATCAAGCATTCCAAGCTTGAAGTGATTCTGTTGATCATGATGATTATACTCTGAAACCTCCTCTTGCTGGTGAGCGAATCTTGATCTCCCAGTCTTGAAAACATAATGTGAAGCAATAACGACGCTTAACCACCATTTGGCAGAAACAATTTCATCCAACGCTTAACCATCATTTTGACGGAAGCAAACCAACCATAATGGATGAAAGAGAGAAAAGAAAATGAATCTTAATCTTGATCCTAAAATGATGCTTCAATGAGGAAAAATACACACTATAATAGTGTGTGTCTAATGGAAGAATGGGTTGAGAGAAAGAAATGAGTGGGTCAAAGAATCACAGAAAGGTAAACTATATGTAATAGAAAAATAAAATGAATGAGATAACTGTTGAAGCAAGAAAACAACAAAGAGAACAACTTCACTGCTAGGTTGGTGAATGGAAGAGATAACAGTCCTTCCATCCAATGACATCTTCCTAGGCTACATCAAACTTGTATCATCATTCTTGCAATTATTCCATGGAAATATTGCAGCAACAGAGTGAGGAAGAGGAAGGGCATAAGCGGAAGCCATCAAAGAATAATTACGCTCTCATACCATGTTAAAGTGTGGTATGGGCAATAGATGAATCTTTTTGATGAACAAGAAGGATGATTCAAGAAAGCTTAAAGAAGAAGAAGAAGAAAGAATGAGAGAGAATGAATTGAGTTGAATGAGGTGAGTACAAAGATTAAGAGAATTACCCTTTATATACTACACCAACTAGGAACAGAACACGAACTATTAACCAGATAATCGATTAATTATACTGTTAATCGATTATATTACAGAATAAACATGTACTATTTTAATAGGTTTCCCTATGATGACAAACAATGGCATGCAATAAGACATGGAAAGAGAAAAGCAAAATAAGCATCAATGTAACATAATGATGATGAGAAAAGATAGCATACGCGAGAGCTCGAAAGTGGTCACGAATTTCACCGTGGATCTGCTCCAACTGTGGATTCATTTGCAAGTTGGAAGCCATGGTTGCCGGAGATAAATTCCGGCAAATAAAAATAAGGGGGAGAGAAACCCTATGTGGTGGTTGATGGAAGAAGCATGATTTTGTGAAGTTTCACTAACCGGGAAGAAAAGAAAATGAAAATGCAGAATAGAAGAGAATGAGAATGAGAATGAGAATGTCCGAAGGGTTTGGAATGAAAATGAAACTGAAAGAATGAAAAGAGTGCGTGCAAGCAACACATTATCGCTGTCTCCCTGTCAGGTCAGGTAAGCTACTATTTTTTTATTTATTGTTTTTAATTCTAACATTCATTTTTTTATACGAATTGTAACATTCATTCATTCAACAAAAATAATGTTTGTCCTACACCCATTTCTTTTTAACAAATATGAGGCTTCTTGAATAAAATATATATTTTGCCTCAACCATGTACCAATTCGATTTCATTAATGAGTTTAATTCCATTTAATTTTCAATTTAATATGGGCTAAATTAATAAGCTCAAACTATACCTACATAATATATATCTATATTTACTATATATATATATATATATAAAATTAAAATATGATGTGATTATCACTATAATATAATTTACAGTTTTACACTTTTTTAATTTACCCTTGAACGCTTTTTAATTTATACAAATGTATCATATAATTATGTGTAACCACAACTGACATATTAATTATATCTCTCACCTTAAATTAAAATATTATAATAAAGATAAAAATTATAATATAAAATACTTGATACAAAATTACCATAAAGTAAGAATGTAAGTCAACAAGTACGAAGTGACTTTCACTATAAAAGGAAATGAAATTTTAAATTGATTTATTGTTTTAAAATATTCATATATTAATATAAAATTATTAAATATTTTTTAAGTATTAATGTGTATGTATATTTAATATAGAATTGAATGAGTTTATGAATATAAGTTTATTTTTAACTCGTTTATTAAAAAAATCTCATTTATAATCAAGTTTAATTTGTTTGATTTATAAAATATGTTTGTCGAGCTAAATAATAAGTTTAATTATAAATGAAAATTAAGTAGGTTTGATTCATTATTAATAATACATATTGTGTTTGCTAAAAATATTATGTTACCCAAATGTATTTTCTTTTCTGTGTTTTTTTATTACTCAAATGATGAGAAAAAAGTTTCAAATGTCAAATCAAACTCTTCATTTGTCAAAAGAACGAATCAATAATAGTAATTCACTTATATTAGAAATTAATAAGTATTTATTAATGTCAAAGACTACACATATTGTTATGGCTAACTCTATAACTAAATTAAATTATAATAATAACTTCGATGACTAAATGGGTGAATTATAATTTCATACCTTCAAACAAATTGTTGCAACATTTGGAAAAGTGTATTCAACATATTAATTTTAAAATATTATAATTTCCAATATAGTATTTCATTACTTCCCCCTTGAAATGTCCAATGTAATATTCCATTATTTTATTCATTATCCAATTCACTAAATACCCAAACAACTAAAAGTTAAAGGTGGAATCATTAACAAAAAAAACTTTGTAAGCGATAGGAAAAAGTTTTTTTAAATATAAATTAGAGTGACCCATCCCATATGTCCTTTGACACCCACATACAGCGCATTCCACTTCAACAAGGCCTGGCATATGTTCTTTCAAAATCATAAATTTCTCACCATTCAATAATTTCAAACTAACAAATTTTGGATTTAACAACCATTTCATGCATATTTTCTTTCGGCGTCCACCATTCATTGTTCAACATTCGTGCATATTCACCAAACTTCTTAGTGCATTTTTAGTGTGATCAGCTAAATTTTTATTGAAACAATATATTACATATTGCATAGTCATTGTAATTAATTTTAATTTTTTTTATTAAATTAAATTAGTTACTTGTATTTTAATTAGTTTTTTAGTAAAAGAGTCATCATGAAATTAGTTAATCACCATGTAATAGTCTGAAAGAACATTAGCTAAAGTTGACTGTTGACCTATGAGTTTGGGCAGCACATGTGGTAAGGCCATTTAACTCTATCCAAATGAAATTTAATTTTTTTTATTAAAAAACAAGTTAAAATCACGAGTATTAGAGTTTTATTTTTGACATAAGTCACAATCCCCACGTGCTAATGGACCATCTAATACTGGACATGATTTAAAAGAAGGTACGGGTGATCGTTTTTCTGCTTCAATAAACCATGTAATGCACTATAATTGAACATATTTCAACAAAATGAATTGATAATATTGTAAGTAATGCTAATATGTTGGAGATCAGGCAGAGAAATTCAATTTAGGAAAAAGGAGCTATACAAACAATTGGAAACATTCGAAACTCATGCTGGTCGAAAACTGGATTGAATTGTGTTCTTCCGGGTCAGAGGTGATTTTGCTCTGTCATTTGGTCACTACACATACACAAACTATCCCTTAAATTTATATTGTAAAAAGGAACTAGATGTCACCAGAAATAATATGCATATTAACACATCGGTTGACGTCAATTTTTCTTGGAAAAAGATATAAAAAAATAAGGCTATCTGGTTTCCATAATACTTGCATGAAAAAGTTTGACATATTGGTAGAGAAAGTGAATGGGAACGTCTGTTTGCAGTTGGAATAGGTTGTGTTGGTGTGGTGCTTCACATTCATATCTGCATATAAGGTTTCAATCAGTTTTTGATAGTTCTGAGTTGTGGAGAACGATGATGATTGATGCTACACACAATAGATAGTGTTACTAGCAATGGTGAATTCATGCTTCATCCCAGAATGGTAGTACATATTTCTGTGTTGGCAATAATGGTACACAACACTTGTAGCAGTGTAGCACCCAGTTTTAGTTAGTCCCACATGGGAGAGGTTTCAAGAAGTAGCTTGAAGTGTGAGTTATAAAAGAAAAGTGAGTGGGAAAGAGAAACATACTTACCTGGATGGGGTCAATGGGTGATCAAGAAGGCCCATGGCCTAGGGAAGTGACCTCCATTGCACTTAGGAGGGGTGCTTTCCTAAGGTCTACCCAAGTGGTGGAGCCTACATCATAATTTGTGGCAGTGGGGACCTGCGTTCGCGCGGCCCCTTTCAATTTTAGTCCAAGGTTATATTTTATTGTGGCCCATTGCTTTTGTTGTACCATAATGACACCCTTTTTACATTTTGAAAGTTCATTTGGCTGTTCTCTGCTCAATATTATTGGTAATTGGATTTGGTTAGATCTATAAATTTTTGAATAAATTGAAGTATTTCTCCCCATCTTTTTCAATCCTCTAAATTGTATTTGCTTAGATATTCCCAGATTTTTTTAATCTTTATCTTCAACCTTATATTTTAGGCATACATTAAAATTTGAGTCTATAACGAAGTAATTTTTCCAGATTCCAGTCTTTATACAAGCATAATACCTACTTAGCTCACGGCGGCAAGTTAGACTTAGATATGCTGTGGTTCAAACTCAACTCACCTAGATTGGACTCATCAGGGTCAAGTTCTCTCAATCTGAGAGTTGGAAACTGTATAGATAGAAATCTCGCCTTTAATTGAACATTTTTTTGGAATCAATAAATCGAGTATGTGGAATTCAGCTTATAGCCTTGATGGGTTGTGTACTGTGTGTCCGTGTCAGGTTCAAATATTAATTTTCTTCTTCTTTGAAAACTCTGGAAGAGGGTAGCAGGCTGCAACCAGCTACTTTTGTTGTTATTAAATCTCACAATGTACCATGAACACCTAGTCCAGCACAAAGAAAATTAAATACAAGTTCTAACTCTTGCAAGTTGGAACTGTGCAGGGGAGGACGAACAGTGTGCTCCCAGCTTGTAATCCCACCATTATTTGAATATTTTGGGAATGAATATATTCAAGTATGTGATCCAAATTATTAACAAACGTTTGTTAGGATTTCGTAGTTGTTGGTCGAAGGTTGAAAAATACTGCATTTTGGTGCGAAGTGTTGAATGACGAGGTCCCACATTGTTAGATGGAGAGAAAAAACAGCCAAGGCGTTATATAAAAGCAGCACTCCTCTAATTGTCAAATCATACCTTTCTCGGCCTTTTGGCTAAGATCAAGTGTAGTATCTGTTCTTATCAGTTTAATATCTGATATGTGAGTCATTGACTCACACGATATTAAATTTATTTTTTGAGGGGGAGAAGTCATATCAATAGCTTGCTGTTGGGCTTCTCATGCGTCGCCCTTGCCTTACACTACTGCATGGGCTGGCACACCCCACCAATTCAGTTGCATGTTTTTATATCTATTCTGTAGTTATTTTATTTCGCTATTTTAACTTTCAGTATGGTTTAAATGATGGAATGGGTACCATGCAAGATGTTAATGATTAAGATGCACAAAGTCATCAATTTTAGAGTGATTTGATTAGGAATGGCAAGAGGGTCGGATTAATGATTATCCAACCTCAAACCTGAAATTCTAAACCAGAACTCGACCGGATTGAAATTAACAATACCATATCCGTTACTGTCTGGTTTCGGGTAACCCGAACTCGAGGGGATCCTGAAACTTTTACACTCACTGTATCTGAATTCTAATGTTTCTTCAACTAGATCAATCTTGGTTTCCCCAAATATTATTTTTTAGAGATCTTGTTGCTGTTGTGAAAACACTGTATCTAACAAGATATAGCTACTTTTCATTTTCTAAATTCAGAGGCATCTAATGATTATCCAACCTCAAACCTGAAATTCTAAACCAGAACTCGACCGGATTGAAATTAATAATACCATATCCGTTACTGTCTGGTTTCGGGTAACCCGAACTCGAGGGGATCCTGAAACTTTTACACTCACTGTATCTGAATTCTAATGTTTCTTCAACTAGATCAATCTTGGTTTCCCCAAATATTATTTTTTAGAGATCTTGTTGCTGTTGTGAAAACACTGTATCTAACAAGATATAGCTACTTTTCATTTTCTAAATTCAGAGGCATCTAAATTCACCCTCTGTTGCAAGATATGAAATTTAGATGCCTTAGTGTTTTAACTACTCCCCAATCTGAAGTCAGAGGCAACTAAATCCACATTCACTGTTTCTAAATTCTAATTTAGGTAGGCTCAACACTGTATCTAATGGGTTTGGGGTAGGGTAGGATCCCTAGTGGAAGTTATAGCATCAAATCAGTGTATGAAATGAATGGAGAAATTAAGTTCCCACATCCAATCCCACTTAAGGCAAAACAGCCATAGCATCCGAGTCCAATGAGATTTGGTTAAGAAAACAAACTTTGCTCATCATCCTATGTGTTTGTATTTTCAGCCTTTTTTTTGTAATATTTGCAGTTTCTTACTTTGATTTCAGTGATTTTGGTAACTTTGGAGCAATCTCAAAATTAACATCAAAGATCAATCAACTCGACAAGTCATAAAACAATTACAAAATTAGTAAAATCCAAATCCAGTCAATCATATCTAAACTATTCGAAGGTCACTGAAATCATCACACATCATTCGAGATTCCCAATCCGATTCCTATAACCAAGAGTTAGACAGAGCATTCAAATCTTGAGTTACCAGACTAATTTTCAAGAATAACATAAGGGTCTAAAACTAGATCAATTACCCAAAATGAAAACAAGAATGAAACTTTGTAAAATTATAGAATCATCTTAACTACAGTGGAATATTAAAGTTAAATTGTACAAAACATCCAATAAAGAAAAACTAAAAACAAAGAGAGAGAGAGAGAGAGAGATTAAGCCATGGACATGTTAGAGAGTCTACTAGGTGTTGGTCTAAAATTCAACCATCTAAGTGCTAAACGTTTTGGTGGTGGTGTTAATGCTCTCCTCAAAATCTCTTTACTTGCCAATCGCTTTTTCATCCTCTTCTCTGATGGTGGCACCACATATCCGTGTCGTACACAAAGAACTGAACCGATCCGGTTCGAGCATGTGCAGGCCGATCTGGATCGTGGAGCAAATCTGGACTGAACCATCTTCTGCCCTAAAACCGAAATCTTTGGTTGAAGTTGTAAACTTTCTTTGGTTTCCAGCAAAAGGGTATCTTCCATTTTCTTTTGTCAAGCTATGAATATCAAAGAATTTTTTTTGGAAACGGTGTTTTTTTCTCTTCTTCTTAAGTTTTGGTTTTTGGGGTTGGAAGAGATTTTGAAAGTAGAGACTTTATAGTTGGAATGTTTGAATAATAGTTTGATGAGTTGTTAATGGAATTGGTGATTTTGAATAAGACTAAGTAATGGGGAGTGAGTGACCGAAAATGTTTAACTAAGTTATTTGGTCAAGTTATTGGTGCTTGACACACTGATTTGAAATTCGAACGTTTGATGATTCCTTTGGAATATACTTGTTGGCCTCTTTTTCACGTTTTGGAGTCAGAACGTTCACAAAGAAGGGCACATTCATAACTACCGCTGCTCCATTAAGCCCACTTGGCATTGATGAGTACAAATGATATATTTTATTATTGTAATATCTATGCACCAGTAGTGTAAAAACTTGCACGTAAAGATTTTCACATAGACTATATATCATCCACCATTCAAGATATCAGGAATTCGGGACACCATCTTTGCCAAACAACCTGACTAAGATAAAAACTAACCAATTATTATATATAACTAGTGCATAATCCCATTAAAGATGTGTTTCTATTCACCGATTTACATGAATATCGGGTAGAACAGAAGACGAATTTCATATTTTGAAATCTTATTTCATTTCTCTAATATATGAGAGAATTGTAGAAAATATAATTTTATAAACTAATGTTAAAAGATAAGTTTTTGTGTTTATGCAGATTATATCAAGATTTTCCAAAGTATGAAGGAAATTTATCTCATTTGCATCCAATATACACGGTCGATGAGAATGGAATATATAGGTTTTTATGGTAATTCATGTTTTATGTTAATTTCTACTCTATTTTTGCTCTGCTGTTAATGTCATGAACTGATGTACCTTTAGCAGTAGAAACTCTCTTCCTACATGAGTAAGAGATGCTAATCTTTGTTTTTGATCTCATCTCATGGCAAGTATCTAAATCAAATAGTCCAACAGAGACAATAAAGGAGAGCTCATTTGCAAATATTATACTCTGAAACAATGAACTGAAAAATCATCAAGTCAACCCTAAAATCAATGTGACTTTGTGCATTATAATTATCACTACGAAATCAATTTGTGCATGCTCAATGTTTATCTTAGTATTGATAAAACACATACACTAACTTTCAGACAAAATACAAGAATAAGGGACAAAAACCATAGGACTGAATTGGTGGGGTGTGCCAGCCCATACTATAGTGCAAGGCAAGGGCTACTCTTGAGAAACCAAATAGCAAGCTATTTTGATGGCTTCTCCCCCTTAAAAAAATTAATTTAATATCGTGTGAGTCAATGACCCACATATCAGATATTAAACTGATAAGAACAGATACTACACTTGATCTTAGCCAAAAGGCCGAGAAAGGTATGATTTGTTAATTGGAGCAGTGCTACTTTTATATAACACCTTGGCTGCTTCTTCTCTGCATCTAACAATGTGGGACCTCGTCATTCAACACTCAACACTTAGCATCAAGATGCAGTATTTTTTCAACATTCAACAATTTTTTCAACATTCAACAAACAACTACGAAATCCTAACAAACTTTTGTTAAAAATATGCGTCAGATTAAAATAATGGTGGGATTACAAGCTGGGAGCACACTGTTCGTCCTCCCCTGCATAACTCCAACTTGCAAGAGTTAGAACTTGGTCCAGTTAAACTTGTCTTTAATTTTCCTTCGGCTAGACTAGTTGTTATGGAATGGTACACTAGACTGCATGGTCCAAGGTGAGCAACTATGGGTGATTTAACAACAACCAAGGAAGCTGGTTGCAGCCAATTACCATCTTCCAGAGTTTTCAAAGAAGAAAAAATATTATTTGAACCTGACGCAGACACACAACCCTTTAAGGATATAAGCAAAATTCCATATACTCGATATATTGATTTCAATCTATAGATTTTCCAAATCTCAAAAGGTTGAGAGAACTTGTTCCTGATGAGTCTATAGATTTCAATCTGACTCGGCCTGTATAATAATAAGCAAACGGAAGGACAATAATAGACTGAAGTCTAGGGACAATTACGTTGATATGGACTCGAATTTTTAATGTATCCTTCCAATTACGTTGCTGATTTGATGAGGTAAGCTCCACCAAGACGTCTAAAGAAAGAAAATTAATGTGAATTGAAAACTATGCAAATCTAAGAAAATCATTGCAACATTGAACTAAGAGGATTGCAAATGATTATAAAAATATTACTTCACAGTACTCAATTTTAAAATATCTAATATAGTACATTGAAGAATACATCAGAGAAGGCAACTGGAACGAGGCCCATTAATATTTAAAATCAGAACAAATATGTTGAAAAACTAAAAAGAAACTGAACTAAATATTGTCAGGGGCTGCGCGAACGCAGGCCCCCACTGCCACAAATTATGATGTAGGCTCTACCACTTGGGTAGACCTTAGGAAAGCACCCCTCCAAAGTGCAATGGAGGTCATTTTCCTAGGCCATAGGCCTTCTTGATCACCCATTGACCCCATCCAGGTAAGTATGTTTCTAGACACCACTCACTTTTCTTTTATAACTCATCCTTCAGGCTACTTCTTGAAACCTCACCTATGTGGGACTAACTAAAACTGGGTGCTACAAGTGTTGTGTACCATTATTGCCAACACTGAAAGGTTTCAAAGTTATGAATCTGCACTACCATTCTCGGACAAAGCATGAACTCACCATTGATTTAGACATCTCTGGAGTATACCAATGGTGAAAAAGAACAAGAAGTAGAAGAAGGAGAAGGAGAAAAAGAAGATAAATTCTCAACTGAACTTGTCTCTTCTGAAATATGATGTCATCAGAGCCAAGCTGATTGAAACCTTGTATGTGTAGATATGAATGTGAAGCCTCACACCAACACAACCTATTCCAACTGCAAACAAACTTTCCCAATCACTTTCTCTACCAGTATAACAAACATTTTCATGCAAGTATTGTGTTAATATGCATATGTTTCTGGTGCGATCTAGTTCTTTTTACAACATAAATTTAAGGCATAATTTGTATACATGTCATGATCATATGACATAACAACGTTTCTGACTCAAAAGAACAAAAATATGTTTGTTCAAGCTGCAAGGCACACCAGTCATCTGAAATGATAGTGCATCTGGGATGGCACAAGTTTAGTTTACAAATTTAGGGAACACTACAAAGTAGCACAGCATTCACATTATCATCTATAAAATGAGCCTTGCCTAACCTTAAACTCATGCAGTAAGTGCAGTAAAAATGTTTGAAGACTGAATTTGTGGAGTGTGCTAGCCCTTACACCCTTACAGGCAAGGGCAATGCTTGAGTGGCCTTGTAGCAAGCTATTGTGGAATACAGAGCTCAATTGCAGGATCCGAAGTATACAATTAGGCACCAGCAGGGATATAATAACCAGCCAAGGATGCTGGTCGAAACTAAAAACCTTCTCGCTTGACAGAACTTTACACAGAACTTTGTCAATAGCATTTTCATATATTTTGACACTGCTGATACATAGATATACATACCAAAAACAAAAAATACATAAAACTGCTAACTTATTTCAGTAGCAGTTACCAGTAGTCTTTACAAGAACACACTCCCTTGCTAAAATGGTGGAAACGGTTCCTATCCCTAATTATTATATCACAATCGTAAACTTTGGAAATCAGTTTACTCGCTTGGTGACAATCTTTACAAACCCTCAGATTCTTAGTGATATGGAGGGTTTCTCCCCTTTTAGTCTTTAATAAACCATAAGCAATTGCAAGTTTTTCACTATGGTAGAACAGGGGATTCTCCCTTTCCTCCTCAAAAAGATCATGTAAGACACCATCTGCGTCAGGAACATAACCAACCAATCTAATTGATTCCAACATCTCATCAACTTTGGCATATATTGCTTTACCCAGAGGATGAGTCATTTCCCCTGCAACAAATTCATTGACAGTACCCTCCATTTCAATCATAGAAAAGCCTGGTTCCTTCTTCACTCCCCTATCATTCATTAATTTCCTCACATTAGCAACTTCTTCCCACTTACCACAATCTGCATATATATTAGCTAGTATCACATAACGCCCACTATTTGCAGGCTCTACTTCAATCAGTCTCTTGCCTAACTGCTCTCCTAACTCAACATTTCCATGGATTCTACAAGCTCCAAGAAGGGCACCTAATATGCTAGCATCAGGACTGATTGGCATCTTATCTATGACATTTCTTGCTTCTACTAGCCTTCCAGCTCTAGCAAGCAAATCAACCAAGCAACCATAATGCTCCTTTGTAGGCTCAATGCCATGAACATCAGTCATATAACGAAAGTAATAACGTCCTTCCTCAACCAATCCGGAATGAGCACATGCACTGAGAACATTCACAAAAGTTACACTATCAGGGACAACCAACTTCTCCATCTCCCTAAAAAGCCTAATAGCATCTTCTCCTTTACCATGCATCGCAAGTCCTCCAATCATGCAATTCCACAAAGACAAACCTCTCTGAGGCAACCTATTAAACACTTCCAGTGCCTTCTCCAAACAACCACACTTACAATACATGTCAACAATAGCCGTAGCAAGCTTCGAGTCTAACTCAATCCCACTCCTCTCAACATATCCATGAATCCACTTGCCTTGCTCTAGAGCTCCTAGCCCTGTACAAGCGGAAAGCATGGTAGCAGCCAAAAACTTATCCAACCCCACCTTCTCCATCTGCATCCTAACAAACAACTCAAATGCCTCCCGAAAACGATCCCTTTTCACAAAACCTGCAATCATGGCATTCCAAGAAGCAGAGTTCTTCTCCGGCATGAGCTCAAAAACATCTAAAGCGTCATCCAGAAGTCCCCACTGGCAATACCCAGAAATGATTGTAGTCCAAGACACAACAGTTCTGACAGGCATATTATCAAACATTTTCCTAGCATCACCCAAGTAACCAAAATTAACGTACATATGAATCAAATTGTTAAGAGCGAAGGTATCGAATCCAAACCCAAATTTAATAACATGGGCATGCATCTGTTTTCCTTGTTGAAGAGCATTATGGATAGAACATGCTTTAATAAGAGAGGGAAAAGTGAAGGAGTTGGGGGTGAGGGAATATTGTTGAAGGAGCATGTAAGAGTAGAAGAGGAAGATGGAATTGAAGGGGAAGTGATAGTTGTGGAGTAAGAATGACTTGAAGAGAGTGTTGAAAAGGAAGGTGTCAGGGTTGGGGAGGGTGGAGAAAAGTTTGAGAGAGTAGTGGAAGTCACCGTGGTTGGAAAGGGAGGAAAAGGTGATGATAGGAGTAATGGCGTGGTTTTTGGAAGAGAGACCGAGACGGATGAGAAGAGAATGGTGTTGCTTTACCTCCGCCATCGTTGAATATGAGTCCATAACATTGCCACATAGGACTGATGCAGGATGGAGAACCCAACACAGACTCATTATCCTTTTTTCTTCTTCTACTTCAATATGGATCTTTTTCTTAAAGAAAGATAAAGTAGTATTAAAGGATGGATTGGTAGTTAAAAATGTCATCTCATTATATCTTTAGATAAAAATATCAAATTATTTTATTTTAGGTGTATTTGTCTATCTATTACTATGACCCCATAAGATGGTGAGGAGATAAGCAATGAAAAGAAATGGTAAAGAGCACACCACGTCAGAACCACAAAATAATACTGGTTGAGGAAGAGAAGAAGAACTTACTGAATTTGAATGAATGGAGCTCTTCTTACATTTCAACTCTCTCGATTTCCCTATACTCTATTCTCTCTCCAAACCCACTCTTTCAATTCCCATCACTCATTTACTCTATAGCCGCCGCCGGCGTCGGAGCTCATTGGGCAGCTTTCAGTTGGCATGCGGCGGCGATGTGTCAGCGATGACAGGAGGGAAGATGGTGATAGAGTTGGTGGGTGCTTTCAACGATCTAACAGAGAGGATGAACGTGTTATCTACAAGTTCCTCTCGTCTTCTTTTCAAGTCATTGAAGCTTTCAATTCCTATCTTACAAAGTTCTCCTCTTTCACCTGATGGACGCTCTCCCCTTTCTAAAGCCTTATCTGTTGCTATGCTTCTCGCTGATCTTCAGGTTCCTATTCATATCAGTATCAACGGATTAATTTAAAATTATGTATTGATACACTATACATGTTGATTTTGTGACTAGTTTTTGTAGCAATCATTATTCAAGTACTGTTTATAGTAAATATGATTGCAGATGGATGCAGAAGTGATCTCTGCTGGAATATTGAGAGAGGTGTTGGAGGCAGGTGAAGTAACTATGCATGAAATTCGAAATGAGATAGGTGTAGGTACTGCTCATTTGCTTCATGAGAGCTTGCGTGTAAACAATATTCCATCTACAATCCAAGTTTTGGATGATGAGAATGCTGCTGCATTGAGAAAGTTCTGCCTCACTTACTATGACATAAGGGCTTTGATTTTAGACTTAGCTTTGAAACTCGACATGATGAGACATCTCCATTATCTTCCAAGATATCAGCAGCAAATCCATTCTCTACAAGTTATGAAAATACACGCTCCTCTAGCTCATGCAGTAGGAACTAACTATTTGTCATTGGAACTGGAAGATCTCTCGTTTCAGTATTTGTTTCCTTACTCGTATCTTTATGTTGATACGTGGTTACGAAGTCATGAGACAGGGGGAAGATCTCTTATTGATATATATAAGGAACAGCTGCTCCAAACACTGAAAGCTGATGCTTTGCTCAGTACACTGGTGGACGATATCTCAGTTAAAGGTCGCTATAAAAGTCGTTATAGTACAATGAAGAAGCTCTTGAAGGATGGTCGGGAGCCTGAAGATGTAAATGATGTGCTTGGGCTAAGAGTAATACTAAATCCTAAACCTGGTGATAATGCACTAGAAGATGGAGAGAAAGCATGCTATAGGAGCCAACAAATCATCCAATCTTTGTGGAAAGAACTCCCTAATCGGACAAAAGACTATGTTGCCAGGCCGAAAGCAAATGGGTATAAGAGTTTACATATGGCAGTAGATGTAAGTGAGAATGGTAGGACTAGACCATTGATGGAAATACAGATAAGAACTACTCAAATGGACAGATCAGCTGTTGCTGGAGCAGCATCCCACTCATTGTACAAGGCCGGCCTTACTGATCCAGAAGAGGTCGGTGTCCTAAAACTATACAAATTAAATGACCCCCTCCCCTCCTGCCCATATAAGTATAAAACCAAATTAAAAGCAACACCGTCTTTACATATCTAAAAACTCAATCAGCAACTACACTTGGAGTCATCTAACTTGTTTCTACTTATTTATGACTGTCTTGTGAGGAAAACGTCTCCAAATCTATTCTCCATTTTTGTCACAAGGAAATTGACATTTTTTTTACTTGTTGATGCTCAGGCAAAGCGTTTAAAGACCATCATGCTGGCTGCAGCTGAACTGGCTGCTCTGCGCCTTAAAGATTTTCCAAGCACAAATCATAAAGGTGTTGAGGTTGACCAGAGGGATGGTGTATTTCGCCTTCTTGACAAAAATG